ACGAAAATAAGTAGTTCCCATTACTTATATAAAGATTTGGAAATGCTAGGATATTAACATATAAAACATAACACCATGATGGCAACTATAACAAAATACTTTTTTTTTTTGAGTCAGAGTCTCACTCTGTCACCCAAGCTGAAGGGCAGTGGCACGCTCACAGCCACTGCAGCCTTGACCTGCTGGGCTCAGGTGATCCTTCTGCCTCAGCCTCCCAAGTAGCTGGAACTACAGGCATGCGCTACCATGCCCGACTAATTTTTTATTTATTGTAGAGATGAGGTCTTGCCAAGTTGCCCAGGCGGGTCTCGAACCCACGGGCTCAGGCAATTTACTCACCTTGGTCTCCCAAAGCACGGGATTACAGGCTGAGCCACCGAGCCCAGTCACTTTTTTTTTTTTTGAGGGAAAAAAGGCAAGCAAGGATTGGTAGTTGTATTAGGATATCAGGACTATGGGTGAATGTCTTCCTCTCTGTTCCCAGGGCTCTTTTGGTATGGTATGGGATCAATGTTAATTAACAAAATTCTAAACTGTAGTCTGTCCAAAATATGAAAATGGACCTAACAGCATCCCTTCTCCAGGTGCCCACTTGTGAACCCGGGCCATCGTGACTCCTCTCTTCGTCCCTTGGGTCAAGCCCTGCCAATGCTTCTTTCAACACATGATTCCTGTCCGCCCAGCGGGAGGGGCCAGGTTCAGTTCGCAAGGTGTCTGCCCTGGTGCTACGTGAGCTGATTCCCGCTCATGAAGATTGATGCAATCATTCACTGGCTGAGCAAAGGGCGGCTGGACACATTCCTCTGTGTCAGGACACCGCTTAGGCGGGCTCCTCAATTCCAAATAAGGGAAAATCTTGCCCTTTTGGACAAACTGTGAGAAAACCAGGCCTGATGACTGTAGAATCCCCAAATGGCCGAATAGCAGGAGGAAAAAAGCTCATCCATTCCTGCCAAGTATTTCAGGCTGTGGCTGAAAAACAGGATTTGGAGACTCGTTTTCAATGAGACAAATAAGAATGCTTAGTAAATGAATATATCAAATATCTTTATGTGCACCCAGTGTCTAAATTTAAACAACTTGCTCCTTCAATTGGTTTATATTAGTCCCCTTCAATCTTGCTAACCCAATGTTATATAGTGGCTTGATTTTTTTTTTGCGGGGGGGGGAACAGGCTCTCTGTTGCATAGGCTGGAGTACAGAGGTGAAGTCATAGCTCACTGTAACTTCAGACTCCTGGGCTCAAGCAATCCTTCCAACTCAGTCTCCCAAGTAGCTGGGACTACAGGCACGTGCACCTAACACTTGGCTAACTAAAAAACCAATGTTTTTTTGTAGAGACGAGGTCTGGCTATGTTGCCCAGGCTGCTCCCAAACTCCTGGCCTCAAGTGACCTTCCGCCTTGGCTTCCCAAAGTGCTGGGATTACAGGTGTGAGCCACCATGCCCAGTCTTAAATTGTTTTTAATATCTCAAAAACATTAAAACCTAGTACACATCTTCTGCTATCGTGTTACCAGATTTCCAATCTATAGGGTGCCGTTGAGAGTTGACTGCCACACCTCTGGCCCAGAACCTCTCTGCGGCTATCCCGGACACAACTATGCCAGAGCCAGCTGTGGAACCTTGGCTCTACATGGCCCTGATGTCCCTGTTTCCTCACTTATAAAATGGGGATAAAAATAACACCTGGGTCTGGAGTGCTGAGAGGATTCAATGAGGCGAAGTAGATAAAATGCTAAGTATAGAGCCTGGCATATAGTAAATGCTCAATAAATCATTGAAATTACTTTATTGAAGACTTGTGCTCCTTACTCTGACTGCCCATGGCAGCTACTTTTTTTTCTGACCAATTTTCAATAGTACAGTCTGCTTTATTCATTTGCCACTTTGTGCATGTGTGTGTGTGTGTGTGTGTGTGTGTGTGTGTGTGTGTGTGTGTGTTTTTCACACTATCAAAGGGTTACACTTAACATTCCTATTATAGTACGGAGTGCTGGGCACGGTGGCTCACACCTGTAATCCCAGCACTTTGGGAAGCTGAGGTGAGAGGATTGCCTGAGCCCATGGGTTCGAGACCAGCCTGAGCAATATGGCAAGACCTCGTCTCTACAATAAATCAAAACATTACCATAGCCAGGCATGGTAGCATGTGCCTATACTTTCAGCTACTTGGAAGGCTGAGGCGGAAGGATTGCCGGAGCCCAGCAGGTCAGGGCTGCAGTGGCTGTGAGTATGCCACTGCATTCCAGCCTGGGTGACAGAGTGAGACTCCAACTCAAACAAACAAACAAAATAATATGGAGCATTGTGCCTTGGATCCAGCAGACTAAGGAATCCGCTCGGCCGGCCCCCTGAAGCAGCCTTTTCTGCCTTGTGCATTTCAGGGATGGGGATGAAGAAGGGTAGGGAGAGAGCAGACACAGGGTTCACACAGGCAGTCAGGAGGCCCAAGTGACAGGCTGAAGACAGACGGGTAGCCTTGGGGACCAAGGAGCTTGCTGAGAGCTGTGGGCTTGGGGAAGCTCTTGGTCTGCAGGCAGCCTAGAGTCAACCGCGGGCTCCACCTCTAAGAGCACACCTCTGGGGCCTAGGGGATCTGTGACTTATTGCCATCCTTACAGCCGAAGGCACAGTTCTGTGGGAACCTCTTTTCTTTGAGTTGGAGTCTCACTCTGTCACCCAGACTGGAGTGCAGTGGTCGCTCCCGGCCACCGCAGCCTCGACCTGCTGGGCTCCGGCGATCCTTCTGCCTCAGCCTTCCAAGTAGCTGGAATTACAGGCGCGCGCTACCATGCCTGGCTAATTTTTTGATTTATTGTAGAGATGAGATCTTGCCAAGTTGCCCAGGTGGGTCTCGAACCCACGGCTCAGGCAATCCACTCACCTTAGCCTCCCAAGGTGCGGGATTACAGGCTGAGCCACCGAGCCTGGCTGGAAACCTCTTTAAAAGAGCGAGAGCCTCAGATCCAGAGCGGAGAGGAAAGGGAGAAGGTCTCCCAGCCACCCCTGGGCCCTGAAGCCTCCTTGTCATGCTGGTGGCTTGATCTCCAACCCTACAGTGGGTGCAAGATACTGTACCAGGCCTTCTCCAAGGTGAGAACTCTCCTCCCAGGCAGGTAACCTTTCCTCTAGCTGCTGTCTTGATATATATATATATATATATCTTCTTCTTTTTTTTTTTTTGAGTTGGAGTCTCACTCTGACGCCCAGGCTGGAATGCAGTGGCAAGCTTATGGCCACCGCAGACTCAACCTGCTGGGCTTAGGCAATCCTTCTGCCTCAGTCTTCCAAGTAGCTGGAACTATAGATGCATACCACCACGCCCGGTTAGTTTTTGTGATTTATTGTAGAGATGAGGCCTTACCAAGTTGCCCTGGCTGGTCTCGAACCCCAGGCTCAGGCAATTCTCTTGCCCTGGCCTCCCAAAGTGCTGGGATTACAGGCTGAGCCACCGCGCCTGGTCTTGATATATCTTCTCAATTCCTTTGTACGCTCCTGGATATGTTAACCACGAAGCACACAGATTTACGGAAGAAAAATTCGCATGATGGATCTCTAGCTAGAGATTTTGATCACTACCCTGAAAGGATGAAGGTTTTCCCATTTTCCCACCAAAATACCCAAATCCCAGGGGACCAACCCTCACATGAAACCCCTCCTACAAAAGCACCTTCTCTGGTAATGCAGGCAGGACGTGCGTCCACAGTCATGCTACTCAAAAAAATCCATACACTCAGCAACTTTGCTCACTGTGGATTTAGCAGCACCGTAGAACATGCAACAGATGTGACTGCTCCTTGTCACATTGCAGAGTGCCAATCAGGTGTGATGGTGATAAGGAAACACTCCACCCAGAACAAGCTCCTTTCCCAAATGTCCTGGGTGCCCAGGCGATATGGAGACACAGGCTTTGCCCTTGAGGAGTGTGTCATTTGATCCAAATATAAGAGCGCAACTCAGGCAGCGGGCAAGGAAGGGGGTTGGTGGTTACCCCACGAGGGAGCAGATGACACTCTACTAGGCAGAGGCCTGATAATTTTTTTTTTAAGGGATGAGGTTTCACTGTATTGCCCAGGTAACTCCGAGGCTCAAGCAATCCTCCTGCCTCAGCCTCCAAAATGATGGGATTACAGGCCCGAGTCACCACGCCCAGCCTGGGAATTGACAGGGAAACAGGCCTTATCTGTGAGGATCAGGTGAGCTGGCTCCCTCCGGGCTTGGCTTCCCCCAGCCTCACCATCCCTCCCTCTACCTTACCAGGTGTGACCTGTCTCAGCCACACACTTACCTCTCCCCAAGAACCAGCAAATGAAGTCTTTGGTTCTAAACTTAAATACATTCACATTCTAAAGGTGAAGATGCCAACATGGGGAAACTTATCAAAGGTAATAGAAACCATCACAGAATTAAGTGGGAAGAGGAGAAAGAAAAATAATTTGAAAACTACAATTAAGACTGCACTCATCAGGCAGAAGGATCACCTGAGCCCAGCAGGTTGAGGCTACGGTGGCCGTGAGCGTGCCACTATCCTCCAGCCTGGGCGACAGAGTGAGACTCCAACTCAAAAAAAAAAAAAAGACTGCACTTATCTACCACACGTTCTCACTCATAAGTGGACCCCGAACAATTACCATAATACTATAAGAAAGGGATAGGCAGTAGCGGGACATGGCTGGGGAATTAGAGGTGGAGGGGAGGATACTGCTTCAATAAGGGTAACTGATCTCCTACCAGGCTAAGTGGGGACCAAAGTCAGGCCCAAACTTTCCCTGTACAATGACCACTGGTATACTTAACCCTGAATTATACCCCACATCTTTAAAATAAATAAATTTTTTTTTAAAAAAGGCTGCACTTATCACCCAACTGTGCATCATTTGAAGTCACCCAGACTGATACACACAAAACACACTTTGGGTCCCAAACCCAAGCTCCTCCCTTCCCATTTTGACATTTAATTCATTAAGCCATGTAAACAAAAGAGGGATGCCGACTTACTATCCAGGAGGCTCTGAAGAACTTTCTGGAGTGGGGCTGATGGCTGAGCTCTGTAAACGTCAAAAAAAAAAGAGAGAGAGAGAGAAGAAAAAAAAACAATGTAGATGATTCATTTTGTCTCGGATGTTTCAAGTCAAGGGGAAAAAGAAAGAGAGGTCACTTTCCTTTCCCAGTTTAGATAAGGCCCTGGGGAGTCAGGGAGTGGGCTGGAAAGGTTTTCATTGCTGGTGGAGGCTGTTCTTTCTCTGGGAGAGGAATGTTCCGGCAGGGGCACTTTCCTCTCTTGGTCTTTTGCCTTCCAGCAAAGGCAGCCAAGGCTCTCTGGGCGAGTCAGGAGATGGCCTCCTGGCTCGAACTTTATCTTCTGTCACAGGCCACCAGGCGATGGCCCACCATGGGTCGACATGCATTAGTGACATGGACAGCAACACCCCCACCAGCTCCAACCCAGCCCTCAGACCGCCCCCCTCCAGGCCACTGCAGACTCCTTCATGCACCCCAAATGCCACAGCCAGAGAGAGGGTCACCCGACACTTAGGTCCAGAAATATACAGAAGTGCATTTTAAAAGACCACACTGTATTTTGATAACTTGCTTCTGTCTGAGGATTTAGAAGCATGGACATGGGGAGACACACAATCTCACAAACCCTACTAATTACCATTTCGGTACCAGCGGGTGGATGCTTTACCAAATTATCAGGCCACCACACAAAAGAAAGCAACCAAAGGCTTCATGCAGCGAAAAAGCGACATATCTGAGGGGTAGAGGGTTTCGGTGGTTGTCTTGGAGAGAAAAATGCGAAGGGTTCAAAATATTTGTTTTGAAAAATAATGTGGTAGGTGAATGCATCAATGCAAAAGTCAAATTTTAAAGCTATCCCTATCTCTTGTGATGACCGTATCTCTGATGACAACCGTCTTAAGGAAAACTAGCTATCTGGGGAAGAGACATTTGGAGACGGGAGAGAAAGAGGGAAGGAAAAGGACAAGCTTGTGGAAGAGGGAAGAGGCCACGACAGGCAGTGGGAGGCAACCTGCACACCCGCCGTCTGCCTGCTGAAACCTGCTGGGCTTTGTCCTCCCATTTCTGAGAGTCCTTCTGCCCAGGATGAGGGCTCTACTCCATGCCAGACCCATGATTTCTCAGAAGGGGCACCCTCTTACCTCCACATGCCAGCCCTTTCGGCTACTCTGTTTTGCCTGCCCATCCTCTCCTTTTTTTAAGGGACAGGGTCTCACTCTGTCACCCAGGCTGGAGTGCAGTGACACGATCATTGCCCACTGCAGCCTCGACCTCCTGGCCTCAAGCAATCCTCCCCTCTCAGCCTCCCAAGTTACTGGAATTACAGGTGTGAGCCACTGCGCCCCGCCCTCCTCTTCTTGAGGTTCCTCTCTCGGCACCTGTCCCGCCCTGGCCTTCCACCTTGGAAGACCTTGCCCCGATCTTGCCCTTGAAGAAACATTTGCATGAGCCTGCAGAGTCCCCTCCCTCCCTCCCTTCCTTCTCTCCCTCCTTCCTTCCATGATCACATTTTTTTTTTTTTTTTT